TAAATGTCGGGGCACCAGCCCCCCCCCCCCCCCACACACCCACCCACTCCCCCGCCCATCCCCACTGGTATGTTCTTTTTTCTTTTCGCCGGTATGTTCTTATGGGGCCCGGGGGGTAACAAACCAGTAACTTCTTCATTATACTCTGTAGGAAAAAGACTCACAAGCTGTTTTTCCTCAGCCATCATTAATTCCTCTCTGACTGTGGCCTGGCCAGGAGCCAGAGAATTCTAAATCTGTCGGCAGTAAAATGTGAGCTGGGCTGGAAAAATCTATTAGATGTTTGAGCATGACTGGAATCTGAATGTTAGTAAAGCAGCCAATAGGAGCAGCTGTATCCTGTTAGAGTTCACATCATCAAATTCAGCTTCCAACAACAGAACCTTTATTAACATTTGTCTTATTTTATTTCTGGAATCTCACACAGTGTGGTTCCTAACAATGACAGAGGGGGGTGCCGGAGAGGAGGAGGAGGAGGAGGAGGGGGTAATGGAGTGAACGCTCTAGGATGATAAAAAAAACTGTCCATATCTCCATTGACACAAATCTGTCTCTCTTCTTTCCATTAGTCAGGTCTAGAACCACAGTCGTCCTTTTGACTGGTTTCATCAGCGTCGACCACAGAAACAGTTGAAACTCCGGCTCATTTTCTTCTGTCTGTCGACCTGATAGTCAGTTCAAACCTCTCTCGCCCTCTCCCTCTCTCTCTCTCCTAGTCCATGTAAAAACGATGCTAAATCCACAGTCATTTTTCCTTTGGTGCCTGTGGCTCTTTCTTCCACCTCACGTCCTCATAAATAAACAGACAGCGTTGTGTGCGCTGCTGCGGACGTCCTAGTTGGTACAGTGAATAACTCTGCATTTTTAATGAGGCTGCCGGTCCATCTGCTGTATGAATGTATGTAAATCCAGAGTCAGAGCCACGTTAAGGAAGTCAGTCAGAAGGACGCGCTGCCGTGACAGGAATATAAACACTTCTCACTTGTTGTTCTTTTCTGTCTGTTTACGCTTCGCTGGACAAATATTTGTTTCATTAAAAACGGAGGGGTGGACACGTCTGGGGACGCAGCGCAAGGACAGAGAGGACAAGCCATAATTATCTGGTCCTCATGACTGCAAACATTTCATTTAAAAGGAAACATAAAAGATGTTCAAATAATGAGAGGGATTTAAGCTGAGTTTAAAGGGAACGACAAACACCTCCAGCCTGTTCTCCTCTTCCTCTCTCTCGTTTCAGCTCTGGCCTAAATCTCCTCCACTGTATCCTCCACTGTCTTCCTCACTTTGTGAGATTCACACACACACACATACACATATATATATATATAAATACATACATTTATATGTGTGTGTATTAATATATGTATACAGGATACATTTCCTCTCCTGTCGCGGTAGTTGCGTTCTAAGACCCAAAGCAAAATGGAAAAAAAATTGCGAAGTAGGAGTGAGTTTTTTTAATATAATATACATATGTATTTACCCTTTACGACCCCCCTCACCCCCCACTCTCATTAACCCTCTCCAGACTGTATCAGCCTTTCCCACACAGTTACATTCACAGTAGAGTTGCTGAGAGATGCTACGATGCACGAGCCAATCAGTGTGAGGAACAGAAGAGCATGCTTAATTAGCCAATAGTACATTGAGTACACGTCGTGTTAGCCAATAATATGCTGTGTACCAGCTCGTCCAGGTAAACAAAGCTACCAACGACCGTTCGAAAATGACCTTATCTCAATTTCAAAACGAGAATCTATTCACATTTTTAAAGCCAAAAAAGGTTTTTTATTTTATTGTGTGTGTGTGTGTGTGTGTGTGTGTGTGTGTGTGTGTGGAGTGCATCTATTCTCTGGCCAACAACATTAATAATCACTGATCTCCACAGAACTGGTCAGACTTGATGACAGCGAGGCTCATTGTTGAAGCGACACCTAATCTAGAACGGCGTGTCATTCTTCCTCTGACCCAGTTCCTGTTCCTGTTCCCTCTCCTCCTCACCCTCCTTTCCTCTCACCTCACCTCCTTGAAGAAGTCACTCTACTGGGAACTTCCTGTCCCAGTAAAGACTCTGTCAATCATCTTGATCACTGATGAGTGATACTTGATCACAGTCAGAGTCCACCTCGAGGGCAGACTCAGGTCCGACCGCCAGGTGCGCCATGGGCG